CCATAGTGAACATAAATATGTCAGAATGCATTTATTATACCTATATATGGTTGTTCGTGAAATAAATGTCCGATAATATACATAGAGGAAATATTTCGGATAGTTTCGGAAATATTTCCTTCCGCTAAATTTGAAGGAGTATTTATGAAATTTAAGCGAAATTATGAAATATTTTATTTTCTCTGAAATATTTCGGAAATATTTAATTTTTCATGAAATATTTCCGAAATATCCAATGGAAAATAAAATGAATATTTTATAAATTCCCATTTCGCGCTCAGTTTTTACTTGTCGCGAAAAATTTTGACAAAATAATTGTCACTTGTCATCTTGCAAACTTTTAAAACGCTAGGGGGTGCCCCGCAGGTGGTCTGTTTGGCCTGGTTTGGCCGCATCATACTATAAAAACTTTAATCTGCTCCAGACAAAATGTCTAGAAAAAAGCCATCAGTCCAAATATAACTCGAATATTAAAGGGGTATAAAGACGATTCTTGATTATAAACTATACTTAAGACTATTTTTTAGTATTTTGTTATTCCGAAATGAATCTCTGTATTTTATTTTGTTTATGGTAATAAGGTGAATATTTACTAGATACAAAAATACCTATCTATAGCATATAGCTTATAAATTAGGTACATAGAGTTTAAAATGATTTATTTAGGTATTATCCCCCATTCCCGGTACCCAAATTTTTGGTCTGTTTATTCTGCAGAAATCACAAACCAGTAAGAGTAAATTTCATTGGTTGAAACTAGTTTTCTGACTGTTCCTGGCTGTTTTCAACCAATGAAATTAGCTTTGAGTGAATTAGAATAATCTTTTAAATTCCAGAAATACTTCTTAAATGTCCGAAATATCTCTTATATATCCGAAATATTTCTTAAATATACGAAATATATCTTAAATGTCCTAAATTTTTTCAAATCTGTGAATATTCTAATAAATTTCCAATATTTCCAGCGAATATTTCTTTTTTTTTATATTCTCGAGAATTTAAAAAAACTAATTATACCTAGTTAGTTCATTGGCGTGCCTACATTACAAGAAAAATTAACGAAATATTTATGACTGCAAGCAGAAAATAATTAATTGGCGTCTGCGTCTATTGATTGGTAGTATACTTTACAAAAATGCGCCTCATGAAACCCTGAAATCCATACGGCTAATAAGGGAAGACCAAGCCTTTCAGGTGGGTCTTTTTTAAGAAGTTTGTGAAAAATATGTATGTGCGTACGAATGAGGTTAGTGTAATAGCCGGAGAGCCAGCGCCGAAAAAATTCTCTGAATTTACTAAAGCCAGTTTTTGGTCAGTTGATTACAGTATGTACGTACATAAACATACCTCGGTCAGTACATACCTCGGTCAGTCAAGCGAAACTTGGGACAAGGACCTAGGGTGTCTGGTTGAAGTTGTCGAGATAGCTACGTAATGCAACGAATTTACTAAGGCTGAAAATCGCTATACTTATTATATATAACACATAAATAACAGTGATGTTTGTCAGTCAGTTGAATAGCGGAACTGGGCCGGTCATTCAGCCCTATTGAGGTAGTTCAGCGCCAAATTTATGTAAAAAAAATAATAGGTCTATTTTTTTTTTTTTAGAGTGACAGCGTGACAGTGACACAAATTGTAGGTTGAAGTTTAAATTAATAGGTTTGTTCAGTAATATTAATATTTTTTGCAGATTTTTACATTTATTAGGGCTGACTGACCAGCACGGTCCCGCTATTCAACTGACTGACTAACACTACTGTTATTTATATGTTATATATAATATGTATAACGTTTTTCAGCTTTAGTAAATTCGTTGCATTACCCAAGTTATCTCGACACCTTTAACAAGACACCCTGGGTCCTTGTCCCAAGTTTCGCTTGACTGACCGCGGTATGTTTATGTACGTAAATACTGTAATCAACTGTCCAAAAACTAGCTTTAGTAAATTCAGGGAATTTTTTCGGCGCTGGCTCTTAGACTATAAGGGGTTCAAAGGATTAAAATATGGTGGGTTTGATTTATCGTACCAAGTCAATAAAAAATGAGCTTATAATTCTTCAACATTTCTGTAATTGCAACTTGAGACTATGTACAGGGTTATTGGTTATAAATGTTACCCCATCCTTTTTAATTGAAATTTAGAAAGAGGGGTCTCATATAAAAGTTTTATGGATGGAACTAACTTTTTTTGCAACTCACTTTCACATATACCTACAGGTGGTCCAACTTTCTTGATTTGAATAGAATACCCTGTATATTATTGAATATTCGGAAACTTCGTAAAATTTTGAGCAAATTTCATGTGATATACCCTATACCTAAGTTCAACTGTTTTGGAAATATTGACAGATGAAAATTGTTTTTTTTTGCAACTTTGACAGGCTGTAAAACCTAAACGGTTAATTTGACAGCAATACTAATTTCACATTCTCATCTTTAGCGTTCCATTATCTATCCTTTGGCACCAATGTTGAATTTTACTGGAGAATAAGTTTAATTGGAATTTTCAATCGCGGATTAAATTCAGAGTTAAATTCGAAGTTGGTATCAAATGATACTTTATGAAAACCCAAGATCAGAATGTGAAATCGATTTTGCTGTTTACAGCCAAAGTTGCAAAAAAGTTAATTTCCAACTGCCAAAACAGTTGAGCTTAGCCATAGGGTATATCACATTAAATCTACTCAGAATTTTACGTGAAATCCGAATATTCAATAATATACAGGGTATTGCATATTGCATTTAAAATAAGAAAGTTGGACCACGACCAGCTGTTTTGAAACATTCTGTATATGCGAAAGTGAGTTTTAAAAAAAATAATTTAATTAAAAAACTTTTTTCTAAAATGTCAAATAAAAAATATAGAGGGGAGTGACATTTATAACCAATAACCCTGTACATGTAATTTACGTCAGCTTCCTCAATATCTCCATTATTGTTAGCTGACCGATTTTATTGCGGAATTTCTATTGACATTTTCACAAAAAAAATCATTTAAGTAGTATCATTCCAAGTATTGAACACATTCACAAGATACCTATACTTCATCCAATGTTGGAATTCTTAATCAACCGCAATTGTCTCGGGAAGTTTTTGAACCATAAATTATTATGTTCTTGAATGGTTTTTTCCTTGGTGGAGTGGTTTGTATGCAGGACTATTTTTCACAAAGGTATCCGGTATCCAGACTCCCTGTCCGTCATTATTTATTATTATTGAAATTAACGCACGGATTTCCTTAACTTGAAGTTGGCTCAACTTTCCCGTGTGTTACGTTAATTTTCTTAATTTCTAAGTGGATGTAAATAACTACATAATATGTAGTATAAGTATATTATGATCTTCAACTTTTCTTTATTAATAATTTTCCGTACGTTGAGTTATGTTAAGTGGATGTAAATGACTACTTTTGAATTGAAAAATTGGCAAATAAGTTAGTTGTGGATTCATGATTTTATAACCTTTCTTTTGAACTATTATTATACACATTTAATTTTCATGTTCATAAAGTGACTGTAGAAAACATATTAACCCTCATGGATCTTGTTTTTTTTGGGGAAGATACCTAAAATAGTCCCTCCTTCAAGATTGTATGCTTGAATTACGTATTTAAATTTTAGTGGAAGAGCCCATTATTGTATTTGTTTTGGTACTTCCCAGTCCCAGTGGACGATTGCCAAACATCAAGAAGTGCTTTATGTTCAGATCGGTTAATTTTTTAGTTTCCGGAATGCAAAAATATTGAAAGCCTATATAAAATTTAACTACGCCATAACTACAAGAAAGTCAATATGTGTAATAAATGTTCCTCGGTAATGAATTTGCACCGTTTCGGGCTCTTAGCTATGAGCAAGAGTAGTGCCCATTCTGAACTTTGAGAATAATTTTTACAAAGTTGGTGGGAAACTCAGGTAGGTGAGATAATTAGATCTATTTCATTCAATTTTGAACATCAAGGTGGCCTTTATCGACTAGACGCATTCGCCTTGTGGCATCAATTTCTCGAATCGGCTCAATTCGCTAAATATTCTCATATCAGAATGAATTATTGCCTATTTTGTGGAAACTTTCATTTATTGATTATCGGCCTCGCTATTTACAAATAATCCTCGTTTTATTTTCTTATCCTTATTTTTCTCCACATCCTTATAATATCACACAGCCAAGCGCTTTTGAAGGCATCTGAATGCGGGTCAAAGCTAGTCTGGGAATGCAAGCAGCCCCAAAACTACCAACGATACGCATTCAGGTAACCTTGATATGGGTGCCTGGTCACCGGAATATAGCTAACAACGAGGAAGTAGACAGCCTCGCAAAATAAGGGGCTGAAACACCACACTATAGCCCAGAATCCCACTACGTCCACGTTACGAACTGTCCACATACTGATACTGGAGACAAACTCTCAGACTGACAGGCAAAAAGGTTCATAACCACATCACAAAAGAAAGCAGAGCAACACATGAACAGAAATTACATTGGAATAATTTTGATTGGTCGTCGGACTGCCCACGGGGCACTGGCCAGTGAAATATCACCTAAAGGCAATAGGAAAGGGCGGAAAGGCAGAAGACGACAACTGTAGATTTTGCGAATTCGTAGCTGAAACCAGAGAAAATTTACTTTACGAATGCCCGGCTAACTCTGGAAAATGCTCGAGAGGGTACTGCCAACAGCCCAAGAAGTGGGAGAACCATCCTTCAATAAAATAGCTTTTTTCGGAACAAGCCTCAATTTCTTGGACGCAAACTAAGATGTAGTCATGTACAAATTATCTGTGAAGGTAGCAGGGCCGAGAGGCTCTAGCAGTCAAAACGACTCCCCAAGCAGTCTACAATCTACTCTATCTTCCGGTGGGTTGCGGAAGCTTTCTATAATATATAAAATATGTTGTAATGTTTTTTAGTGTGTAAATATCTCTGCAATTTATGCAATAGGATAGATACTAAATTCAATGGGTACCTACCATTCAACTTAATTTTTTATTCTCTTTCAGGTAATTTGGTGACCATAGTTGCGCTAGTCCGTTGTCCTAAACTTAAGATGCATGCTACAACAGCTTTTGTGATATCACTATGTATTTCGGATTTTCTTTTTTGCGCCGTCAATTTGCCGTTGACAGCTGCCAGATATATTTACGAAAAATGGATGTTTGGAACATTACTCTGCAAGCTGTTTCCAGTTCTGTTCTATGGAAATGTTGCTGGGTCGCTCCTCAATATGGTTGCTATCACAATAAATAGGTAAGAATTATTTTTATTTTATCTGTACACGATCTAAACCTTTATTTCTCAATTTTATGTGAACATTTGAACAAGAATTCTTTGTTAAAAAAAGATTCCCAAGAACAGTATACTTCTTTTTTCAAAATTATAAATATATTAGAATATGGTTAGGTAGGGAGTAGGTTCCTTACGAAATAAAAATAAAAAATATCTTCGAAAATATCCTAAGGATGAAACAGTTTTTGACATATTATTATCCTTGGTAGGTTCGTGCTTATTAATTTGGGTTTTTATAGTTTCTTAAATTTGTTAGGGTTGCTTTATAATTTCGTCTTTAAAGTTTATTAACCCTTTAACGATATTTTTATTAATTTCTTGTTTAGGTATTGTATAAATTATTTCATTTAAAATCCGAGCTTATTTGTTATAAGGTACAAAAAGGGATAGGCCACTGTTGCTGCCCATATAATTTTCGTGAATCCCTATTTTATCCTTGATCAAAACTATCTGCAGTATTTTTTGCTAGACATTACTGATATGGAGTTGATTATTGAACAATGAATTAAAATAATGAATATCCTGTTATGCTGACGAGAAAAACTAATATTTTTTACACCATTGCAAAGTATTTTATTTTGTTTACTAAAGTCGGATAACTTCTCTGTGAATCAGAAAAAAAAAATAATACAGGAGTTGTAGGGTTTTATCTCTATTATCTTTTACACCTGTCAAAAAGGGCAAATAACGTGTGCCAACTGTCATAATGGCACCTAGGTCTTTTCTAATGGTTCGGTGCGCCATGCGGTCGTATTTCAACCAATAAACGGCTAGGTGCCAAATGCATCTACGAAATGCAATGTAGTGCCAAATTCGTATACGGAATGTTGCAGATTCATACATAGGGATGGCAATTTTTGGAAAAACATCGATGTATCGACATCGATAGACATCGGAAAGCAATGCATCGATTTATAAGAAACATCGAGTTAAAAACATCGATGTGTTCGATGTTTTTGAAAATGCCATATTTTATTTATTATTTCTTTTTAGGTATTGAAAATGAAATTATAATTGAGTCAATTAGATAAGATCAATAAAAAAATAAGACAGCCATATCAACATAATATAAGCAAAACCCCGCGGAATCATAACCTGTGGTGCAAAGAGCCTACGTCAAGGCAACAAACGACATGCTGCCTACGTTACAACTGGTGATTTGGCGTGGTGGGGTGGGGGCTTCAGATTTGTTCCACACAGGCCTTATGAGAATAGGCTATCCTGTAGTAGTAGTGTGTATTATCCTTGGATCGGATCAGCTTTTCCGTTAAGGCATGCTGTCAACAGCGTTTACTCAACTGTCAATTTCCCATCAAAACTGTCAAGAAAAGCGATTTCTATTTTGTCGAACCTAGTGCCGACTGCCGAGTAACAAAAAATGTATTTAAAAAAAATCATACATTTTAATGGTTAAACATTGATAGTATCGATGTCGATGTATCGATATATCGACTAGTGTTGTATCGATGTAAAAGTATCGATGTTTATTGTTCGATATATCGATGTTTTGAAAAAATCGATGTATCGTTGCCATCCCTATTCATACAACTGACGATTTAGAGTTTAATAAGTGGGAAATTAATAGGTAGGTAGTCAAAAATCCATTTCGATAAGGGAACGTGAAAATTCTAATTAGTGCAATTAGCATTAAACTAAACGAACATTTTATTGTAGATATCATGATGATTTGGGCATTTTTCAAGTAACGTTCTAGTTCTGCTAACTTTGTCTTAAGAGTAAAGCTGGAGAAACAGAAACGTTTTTTTTTTTCCTAAAAAAAAACGTTTCTTAAATTTTTAATCAGTGCATGTACCTAATTAACATTTAATTATATACGAACATATTAACATAAATATCATGATGACATATGAATTTTTCAAATCATGTTCTGCTAGCTTTATCTATGTTCTGGCACATGTTGTTTTTTTAAGAAAAAAACGAGCATTAAATTTCCAAATAGGGAGTGCATTTAATTAGCATTTATTCATCATTCAATTACGGTATAATTGCATTTGTGTACCTATGACCTTGCTCTTCTAGCTTAAGGGACATTAGCACGTGTTATTAAAAGTCCCGCGAAACCTTAACACAATGCATAGGTATCCCATAACATTCCGCATATGAATTTCACACCAAATTACATTCCGTATATGTGTTTGGCACCTCGCCGTTTATTGGTTTAAATTTGACAGCATGGTGCAATGAACTAATAGGATATGCCTGGGTGCAAAATACAAACATATATGGAATGCTTAGATGCTTCCCGGTTCCTTATATCAAAATCTTAATGTAATGGTAAGGCTTCTGCGACTTTAAGTGATAAAAAAAAGTTTTTATTGAAAGTTGGATCTATAAAAGCTAATATGTTAATATATTAGCGGGTTTTTTAGTACTTTGTTAACTTTTCAGACCTTTTTTACTAATTTATAATGCAACTTTGAACTTGAATAGCGCAAAAGCAGCTGAACTAAACATCAACTTTGTATAGGATATATTTGGAATCAGAAGAAAAAATTCAATCATTCTGGCCAAAAATACACAGGTTGTTCCATTCAAAAAAATGTGTGCGTTTGTCATTAGATACTTGGCACCTGTTATTTGCCCGTTTTGACATTTGCAAAAGATAATAGAGATAAAACCTCAGACTAGAAAGAACACTGCAACTTTTGTGTTTAAGTTGTTTTTTATTTTTATTTTGTTCAAGTTGTAGAAGTCGCACTATCTAATTATAAGGAACAAACCCTGTACAGTCACTTGACTTGTGGCCTCTCAAACCGCAGTGTAAAACAACGTGAATTTAACATTGAGGTTCGGAATGATTTTTGAATTTATCGTACTTCAGCTTTTTCAACTTTTCTATAAATGCATTCATTGCATTGACACGAAATAAAACTACTCTGGCCTTTGTTGCTCACATCATTAAAAATTTCACCAATGATAATCGGAACAAGCATCTTTTCTATCTTGTTCCAACTTGCAATTTTACGCATAATAAGAAAATAAACATATATTCATACAAGCTTTAATTGTTTTTTTTTCAAACACCATTTGATGTAATTGAGCACTATTTGAATAATAACCGTACTCAATTGAAGGTAAGTATCAAAGTATTCTAAATAATTATGTTCATAACTTTCTGCCTTTTTCACCTTGTACTGAATATTTAGCTAGACCGTTTTTTTTTGTTTGCGAAAATAAATGTAATCAAATCAGTGCATCCCGCCAAATCAGATGCATCGGCTCATGAAAAATATCATAAAACATATAGATATAGATACATATTTTAAAGAATCGTATATCTTTAACAAGAAACAATGACGTCCAAATTCTGTTGCCGTTCTCCTTGTAACAATTTCAATTAATCAAGTTTAGTGTCAGAAGTCAAACAGTTAATGTCCATAATTTTCATTGTTTAGACGAATGCCCAGATAAACGATTCAGTTGGGTTTCTAACGGAAAAGTGAATCACTTATATTGCAAGAATGAATCCATGCAAATCGGTGCAACCCAACAAACTGGATAGGTATGCATCTTCGAATTTTCTGAAAACGGCGCATACCAGAATATCTACGTAAAAATGTTTATCGCATTTTTGACAGTATTGTTATATACAGGATGTTCCGAACCTATTGTGCCAAAAATTAAGGGATGATAGATCTCGCCAAAATAAACGTTTTTTACTTATAAACACTTAGGCGCATGCGCTTCGGTTAAGTGATAATAGCACATTACAGTCCGCGCTGTGGTAGCCACCTTGCTCACGGAGAAACGTGTTTGAATAAGAAACTGTGCTATTAAATAATACCAAACCCAAGGAATGCTTGTGGCACCAACACGACGGAGGTCCACCACATTACTCGTGAGCTGTAAGGGAACATCTCAACGAAACATAATCTGAAAAGAGTGTTTGGTAAGGGCGCACCTATTGCATAGCCTCCAGGTTCACCAGACCTGACCGAATGCTCCTTTTTTTTATGATGTCATATGAAAGTGAACGATACTCCAGTTGAAACAGAGGAATAGTCAGTAGGAAGGATTGTTGCAGCAGCTGCTGAAATTTGCGAAACGCCAGGAGTTTTTCAACGTGTTCTGGAGGCTATGTTATAGCGCTGTCACGCACGCGAAAAACTTTCCACCCAGGTTCCGTCGGGTGTTGGGTGATTAATCAAAAATCGCTCGGACACGTCGATTTTTGTTTTTTGGAGGACCCATTTTATTGGTATTTTCACCCCTACGTGTCAACCCTTAGAGGGGGTATGACAGGTAGGTACCCCCAAAATTTCAAATGGAAAGGGAGGTCGAGTCATAAGTTATTTGATAGCTATTTTTATTAAGATTATAATAATTATATCCCCAAAGTTTTAATGCTACAACCTTGCCGAAATGGTGAATTGTCAAAGTTATAAAAAATACTTTTTTCGATTATCTTAGCCAATACGAAGATTAGTTTTAAAAGTTATTAATATTACCTGCCAACACTTTTAAACGGCAGAATAGCATATTCTCACGTGATAATAAACACATTTCCTTATTCCCTATCTAACATTTAAACAAAAATTAATTCAATAAATGTTCACAATGTTCCTACCATTCACCGTTTTTATAAACGGGTATAACCGTTGTTAAACATGTCTCCGGACCCCTCTTTCCATTTGAAATTTCGGGCGTACCTGTCACCCCCGCTTAGGGGTTGACCGGTAGGGGATGAAATGAAAATGTGTCCTCCAAAAAACAAAAATTGACGGTCCGAGGGATTTTTGATTAATCACCTAACACCTAGAAAACCTGGGTGAGAAGTTGTTCGTGTCCCACCCTGTATATCTTCAACAAAAAACAATTACGTCCAAGATCTGTTGCTCCTTTCCTTATAACAATTTCAATTAATTAAGTTTAGTGTCAAAAGTCAAAAAATTTATGTCGATTATCCTCATTGTGTGGACGAGTCCCCAGATAAACGATTAAAATGGTTTTTCATCGTGAAAGTGAAGTCCTTCTATTGCACAAATTAAGCAAGTATGATGTATGGCTAGAAATTCCTAATTAAGCAAGGACATATACAATTTAAAACACTTGTTTTCCAAATAAAATAATGTACCTACCTAATTAACTTCAACTTCATTTGTTAAGTCAGTGATTTATTTGGAATAATTTTTATCGGAATTTTTATTGTTATCAATATTCATATTATCACAGCTATTAACTCTACAGTGAGTTATCACGTTTGAAATTCAAATAGATAAATAGATAGTACTTTTTGATCGTGTGAGATGTTTTTTTTTTGTACTTTCACTTATCCTATGATTTGAAGGGCGCAACTTACCTACCTTAATGTCTGTTTTCCTGAACACATTATTTTAAAAGATAATTAGGCCAATACAAGTTGTATATTGCTTTTTATCTTGAGACTATAAATATCTTGAGTCTAAAAATAAAATCAACAGTACACCCACCCTGAAGCTCAGAAAACGTTATGATACGTATCGATGGAGAAAAAGGCATTGAAAAAAAGTAATTTGATGAATAGTTGTTTATTGGTCCGAGTTTTCTATTTAAAAAAATTAATAGATGCCTGAGAAAAGTAATTAAAAAAATAAAATAAAATAGAAATGAACTAGCCATTTGCTCAAAAGTTATAGGTAGGTGTAGTTATTTTCTTATTAACTTTCTTCCAAAATTTATTCTTCCATGTATCAAAAAAGGGGGAAAAAATATTTGGAACTGACCAACTAATATACGTCGTAAGACAAGTTAAATGAAGCGTTAATCAAGTTAGTGATTAAATTTCCTAGTTTTTTTTTTGTCGGCTGCGATCTCAAATCTGTTTTGCTCATACAGTATACAGTCCATTGAGTTCGTTTCCTCCCATAATATAATACATGTGTTTATTTGATATCTGCTCTGCTTAATTTTTAGTTAGGCTGAAGGGCCATTGCCCTCACTCTCTGGCACATTTTCCCAGATAAAAAATGGCTCTTTCTATACAAGCTCCGCTTGAAAAGCTTCGAGTTCCTGGTCGTAGTCTATTATTTTTTTTAATTATAATATGAACGAATTGACCCACTAATGGGGTCACAAGTCAAATCAATAAAGACTTATTTGTGGACGACTTGTGCAATTCTTGTTACATTAATTTGAAGTTTATCTTGATGGATTGGATGACGTTGGATAATTAATTTTTTCAACGTTTATACAGAGTGTACAGAATACGACAAGAACATGTCACTTTGCAATCTTCATGCACCGTATGGGGAACATTTACTTTAGTCAAAATTTTTATAATGTCTTATACATTCCAATTTATTTCTATTTAGGTAGGTAAGTGCCATAAATCCGGTGTCTTAGCATAGTTGAATTTAACTATTTTCATTGCACTGTTCAATGCAATAAGTACCTGAAGGACACAGTTAGTTAAGGAAGAGAAAATAAATACAATTGGATATTATTACCTACCAATTTAAACGGACGCCAAAATATTCTGACTTCTGACGTCACCGCCCGCCGGCGGTGTTTGGAGAGAATCATCAACAGATGGTGCCACTGAAGGATCATATTTTTATTATCAAAAATAATAGTCACAGTAGTCGAGGTATCCTTCTACTGGGATGGAGTAATGCAAGCAATAATAACATTGCCTTGACGTGAATCACAGTGACAGAACAGATGCCAAATGTTACAGTGACCTTTACAGTGCGACATCTCGTGGAATTGTGTGGTACTGCGCCTCTTGCGGTCGATGAAGTCACGAGCTTCCTCACCTAAATTAAAATTCGAATTGTGAATTTCAATAAGTTAGTGATAACATTTGAAAAAAATAAAGAAACACGGGTATCCTAAAAATGGATGTAGATTAATATTACGAAATAAAAAAAAAAAACGCTTAAACACCGGATAGGGGGCTAAAATTCAGATCGTGGAAAGGAATAATTGAAATTTGCCTGTTTTTTAGAAGAAATAACATCTAGAATAATTATTAGTAGACAGGCTGCAGCAAAAACAATTTTTTTTTTAAAATAATATTTTTGGCTGGTTCACTGGTGGGCGAATAATTTTAATGAAAAATATCTTGAAAAAAGAAATATTTTATAGTAGGTAGGTACCTACCTACTCTTTTAGACCGGTGTGAAGTTAGAAGCCTTTTTCTGGCAGCCAAAATTGTGAAGTTAGCAGCCATTTTCAGCAGCCAAAAATGTGAAGTTAGCAGCCATTTTCAGCAGCCTTTTTTTATTTATATTTTTTCAACGTGAAGGTAGTTTCATTCATCTCTATGGTAGTTTCCTCAAACCAACATAATGTGAGGAGGCTGTTAGGACACACAAAAAAATACATTCAAAAATTTAGTAATGTCTTTTAACAAAGTTTGTCTAAAATATGAATACGGCTTCTGCTTTTGAATCCTGGAAAAGCTGATAAATCAGAAGAAATAGAATCAGTTCATTTTCTAATTTGTGTTTAAATAAAGGCTCGTATTTCTAAGGGTTCAAGTACAAATAACAATGGTAATATTGTAAATACAAGCAGTAATCCTTCAGCATCTAATAGAATTAGTAGTTCTATTTCTAATACTGAACTACCTCATATTGACACCTCATTTTGATGGAAAAAATTTGAATTACTGCAAGCCTTTTATAGAAATTTTAATGGCTGTTATTGACAAAAATCAGACTTTGAAAAGTAGAAAAATATTCTCGAAATTCCTAATATGCAAAAAGGCATACTCATTGCTTCAAGAGATTTCATGAGCCGGATCAAACAACAAATACGTGCTCCAAAAAATTTAAAAAAGCCCATAGATCAATGGGACATGATCTTGATATGTATTCTACGTAAAAAATCAAATCAGTTCACTAATAGATCTTATTAAATATATAGAGACACATCAAAGTTGCCCACTTCAAATGACCTTTTGACATATTAAGAAAGTAGGGCTAGGGCATCAGGAGCTAGTGGTTCTGTTGAGAGAGGCATTCAAAAGTCACAATTTTCTTATTTAACTCTGAAAAATGTGTGTGCAAAGTTTGATTACCGCACACAATTTCTTTACTATTTTTCTGAGATTTTTTCAACATATGGGGTGGTTTTTTCCTACCCTGACAAGTCGTAAGGGGTTGTCCTTCATTTTGTAGATTCATCAGCACTTCAATGAGCTGTGTGCAAAGTTTTATTAACGCACACAATTTTTTACTATTTTTCTGCGATTTTTTCAACATATGGGGGTGGTTTTTTCCTACCCTGACGGGTCGTAAGGGGTTGTCCTTTATTTTGTAGGTTCATCAGCAACTCAATGAGCTGTGTGCAAATTTTTATTAACGCACACAATTTTTTACTATTTTTCTGCGATTTTTTCAACATATGGGGGTGGTTTTTTCCTACCCTGACGGGTCGTAAGGGGTTGTCCTTTATTTTGTAGGTTCATCAGCACCTCAATGAGCTGTGTGCAAAGTTTTATTAACGCACACAATTTTTTACTATTTTTCTGCGATTTTTTCAACATATGGGGGTGGTTTTTTCCTATCCTGACGGGTC